ATATATATATATATATATATATATATATATATATATATATATATATAATTTTTGGGTGCACAGTTGATATTTGCGGTGGTGTTTGCATATTTGGTGGTTTCTTTTTATGTTTTTCTCAACTACTATTACTTATCATATGTGGGCTGATGGGAGCCCAGACAGCCGTATTGTGTTCTCTAAGGTAAGCTCTAATATGTGGATTTTCAGTTGACAGTGGTTTTTGTTCTCTCCGTGTTCAGGTAGGTTTTTTTAATTTATTTTTTTTATTATTATTCTATCAGGTATTGGTATGTGATATTTTGTGTGTAATTTTTTTGTTTGTTTGTTTCTCAGTTGTGACCAGTGCTAAATATGTTGGCCACTCTAGTGGCTACCCAATTAATTGTAAAACCTGCAATGTCAAATATCTTATTGGTGTAGTAAAATTGCAGAAAATTATGTCACACTTGAAACAGCTGAATACGAATATTACCTTTTTACAGGAGACTCATGTGCATTGTTGCAGAGAGTGGGGAAAAAATGGTCTGGTCAGGTGTTTCAATCTAATTTTCAATCCAAATCAAGAGAGGTAGCTTTTATAGTGGGAAAGCAAGTTCAATTTATAACCTCGAGTGTGCATGCTGATACTGCCGGGCAGTATGTTATAGTGGCGGGAAAGTTATACACAGTTATGCTAGTGATCTTGGTTTTGGTATATGCTCCCAACTGGGGATGAATCTACATTTTTAAATAACCTCTTTTCAAATATACCAAATGGTGACATAAATTGTGTGCTTTCATCCCTTGACTGTAGTTCGATGGGAAAAACTACCCTGACTAAATCCGCTCAATCAATCAATTCATTCCTTGAATTTTATGGCGTGGCTGACGTGTGGTGCTTCCCTAATCTTACTTCAAGATCATACTCATTTTTCTCCCCAGTTCACAAAATGTACTCCCGAATTGACTATTTCTTTCTTGATAAATGAGCTTTGCCTTTAGTGAAAGAATGTTACTATAGGGCCATGGTAATCTCGGACCATGGCCCAGTGCTCATCCCGGTCACAAAATTTATATAACATCCTACGAGATTTAACTCATTCCTATTCGAGGAAGACTTACATCTGAAATTGCATTTTTCCTTGAAGTTAACCAAACACCAGAAATGCCACCCTGTACTGTCTGGGAGGCATTAAAGGCCTACCTGATAGGTCAAATAAATTCTTATTGTACAAACAAAAAAAAGAAGGGCATGGTACAGCTAGGATAGTTATCGGATGAGATTTTACAATTACACAGAGAACATAGTCAAACCAGCCACTAGGAAGCACAAGCCAGTGTACCTCTTGTGCCGGTCCCAAGCTCGGGCAAATGGTGAGGGTTGTGTCAGTAATGGCATCCGATGTAAAACACTTTTGCCAAAGCTATAATGCGAGTTCATCAAAGCAAAATCATACCAGATCGGTCGCGGCCTGGGTTAACAATGACCACCACTGTGCCTTTGACAAACAGGGTGCCGGCAGAAATTGTGCTACTGTTAGTCGAAGACCACGAGGAAGGAAACGTGTCAGGAGACAGAGGGAGAAAAGGAAAGTGAAGAATGTAAGACTGAGGGTTGCAACTCTAAATGTGGGAACAATGACAGGCAAAGGTAGAGAGCTTGCTGACATGATGCAGAGAAGGAAGGTAGATGTTTTATGTGTCCAAGAGACCAAGTGGAAGGGCAGAAAGGCTTGCAGCATTGGAGCAGGGTTCAAACTGTTTTACCATGGTGTGGATAGAAAGAGAAATGGAGTAGGGGTGGTCTTGAAGGAGGAGTTGGCAAATAATGTAGTAGAGGTGAAGAGAGTGTCAGATAGGGCGATGTGCCTGAAGGTAGAAGTAGAAGGTCTGATGCTAAACATCGTTAGTGGTTATGCTCCACAGGTTGGATGTGATGAGGAGGAGTAAGATACATTTTTGGAAAGATCTGGATGAAGTGATAGAGAGTACTCCCAGGGAGGAGAGAGTGGTGATCGGAGCAGACCTGAATGGACATGTTGGTGAAGGAAACAAAGGGGATGAGGAAGTGATGGGTAGGTTTGGTGTCAAGGAAAGAAACCAGGAAGGACAGATGGTGGTGGATTTTGCCAAGAGAATGGAAATGGCTATAGTCAATACCTAATTCCAAAAGAGGGAGGAACATAGTGGGACCTATAAGAGTGGAGGAAGGAGTACACATGTCGACTACATTCTGTGTAGAAGAGGAAACTTGAGGGAGATTGGGGACTGTAATGTTGTGGCAGGGGAGAGCGTGGCCAGACAGCATCGGATGGTTGTGTGTAGAATGACTGTCGTTGTGAAGAGAAAAAGAGTAAAATCAGAGAAGAAGACCAAATG